TCTTGAAATTCTCTTCTATTCTTGTGTCTGTATCCTATCTTAAGTCAATTACAGATGTTTCATTAGTTGTCTGCTTCTGAAGTACGGTTGCTGTTCTTACAACAGCGCTGTACAAATATGTTATGTTTCTGGTGGGGAATAATAGAAACACAATGACTCATTACCGCCAATTATAAAACACCTGAAAAGTCATCTTATTTTGTTGTATGTCTATCGAATTGTCTATAGAAAGTTTTTTTTTACCACGTGGCACTGAAGCGATTTACACTGCCTTGCGTGTAATCGATCAGGACCTCTTGCTGAGTATAAGTTTTGTGACCAGCAGCGAAATCAAAAATTTATTGCGAAAAAGTTTGCGGTGATTTTTTCGTCTAGGTAATTTGGTCGTCTCTGTGTGGACATACACTCTCTGTAGATGAAGTCAGTGTATATTCTCTGCAATTAAATCTCGTAAGGTATCTGTAATTCAATTTGATTGGACACTCAACTAACAATAAGCTTGCACACATTTCTCAAACAAGATTCAACCTGTGGTTACTTGTGATTTGCCCTCAGCTACGACTATATATCACTGACGAGGAAAGAATAAGTTTAGGCATGTTAGACAATGCGTTTTCAAATTTCATAGTTTCAGTATAGATGACATATTACTCCACTTCAACTTTACTTTTGTTAGAAAATTTGTCTTTTTAGCAATTTTTTCGTCTTGGCACTTTTCCACTTACAGGTCATGCCTATAGTTCGTTCTCCTGACAACTAGACTTGATGAACCGCAAAGTGTTCGTAGTTTTTATAAGCTAACAAAATGGCAGGAATTTGTCAAAAATCAGTCAGTAAAGTATGTTCCATGTTGCGCGCAATCGCCTGTCACCTTCCCGTTATATTTTCAGCTAAGTTCTACACAAGTTCGGAGAGTCTGGAGCCAAAAAAGTCGTCTAACCACTGTTTGAGATTGTCTCCGCAACTGATGTAAACGCGGTTCAAATGATTCGCGGTAGTCCAGGGCAAATGATAAATTTCTACAGCGAGATCTTAGCAGCACACTGGATGCTAATGTAACTTTCGGATCTTGCAGGGCAATTTTGACGAGTTTGTCATACGGAACTATATTTTGTCGT